CTACAAAGGGCAGATTTACAGACATAAGAATTTCATGAATTCTGTCAGGGAATAGATTTGATACACGGTCCTTTGAATTGTATTCCACATAGTGCTGAAGAAATTGGGATGAGTTGTTTTATTAAAAAATCAGTTACCTAGGGAGAGAGGAGGTGTTGGCTATTTTGCCAGTTCCTGCTAGTGCCTCATGATCTCCAAATCCAGAAAGGACTATCTAGATCAGAATGTGGAAACCATGGTCAATAATCATCAAATTGGGTCCACTGCCTGTTTCTGTAAATAAAGTTTTATTGGAACACAGTCTTACTCATTTAAGAATTGCCTGTGGTGGTGTCCATGCTCCAACTGCAGAGTTGAATAGTTAAATAGCAAAAAAATCTATCCTTCAAAGTCTAAAATATTTACCATATGGTCTTTTAAGTCTGCTTATCCCTTCTTGGTCTAGTTCAACATTGTCCAAAACAAGTAAAAGGTAAACCACATATGTAATTTTACATTGTGTAGTAGCCATATTTTTTAAAAGTAAATATTTTAGTAATATATTCTATTCAATCCTATATATGCAAAGTATCATTTTAACATGTGGTGCTAGCCAAATTTTAAGTGTGCAATCGCCATATACAGTTAATATCTCCCATACTAAACAGTGTAGCTCTAAATAAGCAACCAAGGGTAGCTACTGGGGACCTAGTCTATAGAAAATCAGTTTTTTTTAAAAAAGAAAAAAACATTCCCAGGATGGCACAATGGTTCCAAATTGTAGCAACTAAAATAATCCAATTTATCCTTTTACTCACTTTACAGACAAGAAATGCAGAAAAAGAATTTAAAACAAGCCAACAGACAAAACATACCTTTTCTCCTTAGAATATAATGAAGCTACAAAGATTTCTGCCATGAAGAGGTGATTTTAGATTGTTTATTTTCAACTTTGAAGCTAATTTCCTTCTGCTGCAATGTAAACAGTTTCTCTCTTGTTTTATCCTCAGCAGAATCTGAGAAAATCATTTCTGCATCACAAATATGATTCTGTATTTCTTTAAATCCTCTAAGACCTGGGTCTTCCCTTACCTCAAAGATTTTTCTTTATCTAGCTGCACAAATTCAACTCCTTTAACATTTCAAATTAGACCCATTTTTTAAATGTTTTGTGTAGTTGTTCTCAACTCTATGTGCACTCTTCAAATGCAAGAAGAAAAAATGAATAGAGCATGCCAATAAATTCTAAATATTGCCAAACACAAAGCTCACAGCAGAGATCTGACACACTATTCTTCCAGTTAGACAGTATACTCTACCATTCGAAAATATTTCACTTGCTTCACTAAAATCCACACTAAAAAGTCCTGAAACAGAGTAATCTTAGACAGTTCCAAATTTTACAGGCTTATTGTCTCTCATTTTCCCCATCTCTAAAATGAGGGTTATTTAAATCCTTTCTTTAAAGCTGTTTTTTTTCCTGGTAAAAATTCATGAAGCAAATATTCATTTTACTGTATTAACAGTAAGGAGAATGGAGAATTTAGAAGTACTCTTGAAATTTCATGCTTATCAATTTTATAAATCAGATTAAGATAAAATCATCTCAATTGTTCAGATCTAAGAGAATGAGATGAAGAGATGCAAGACATCAGTAGAGAAGATATAACTTAGAAGAAGCACAAATAAAAAAGGTCTAGTTAACAATAAGCTCAATGATATTAGAAGAATGGTATAATATATAAAACAAAGGAGGTAATAGCCTTCCTTTATTCAATTCTCTTACTCTGTAGAGAGGGAAGGTTTGGAACTGTGGTCATCTAAGGTAAAGAGCAGCAGATAAAAATAAAGTGAGAATCAGTCTAAGAGTAAGAAAACAAGACTCTGGCATTTTACTGCTTCCTAGAGTCAAGAAAGAAACAAAATTATATGAATAAAATGAAACCTATATATACTATTATCACCTAAAGGCTAGGTCTGAGGTCCTCCAAGAAACTAACAGAGATAGCAATCAGTTTACTTTCTGGGTATTAAACTAGTAAAATGGGCACTTGATGAATGAGGTTTGCTCCTGCAGACCTTAGATATCTGACATGCATGAGTCAAGAGACATCTCTCAAGTTCCCATGTACTATTCTAATGTAGAATAATTCCCACCCTAAAATGCACACTCTATTAGGAATAGAGAACACCAAAGCCACATTAAAATGGGAATGCTTGGCAGTCAGCTGGGCTGACTCCCTGGGCTTTATGTATTCCAACCTTATAATAAATACACAGTATAAGTGTGGTTCAATTTTCTGTCTTAGGAGACTAAGACCTTGTGCCTTTCCTCTTTCAGTTGTGAATGTAAATGTTTTATCATACTTATATAATTACCCTTATAAAACATGGCTTCTTTTAAATTGAGAACATGAATAATAGTTTTGGGAAATCTAAAAACAATTTGAATAATAATAAAAAAAATCTGTTGCCTAATCACTGGTTTCAAGATCTGAAGGAGGAAAGTATAAACAACAGTAGGTGGCCTAAATGGAGTCCTAAAAACAGAAATCCAAAATTTAGGAATTTTTCAATGCATATCAACCTTAAGCAAGAGAGCTAGTACCGTAATGGGCTGAAAGGGATGACTGCATTAGACACTTAGAGCTCAATGAGTGAACATCCCCAGACTCCATGTCCATCAATGACACAAATAATTCTACCACCTCCTCTTTCTCATTCCCTGTAGCTTTACTACAGTGAGATTGTGCTGAGTTATGAACAGAATTGCAATTACATTTATCATTGCAAATTAAATGATAATCATTCTAGCTTATATTTTTATTTCTTAGGCATTTGGTTAATGTGACTCAGTTCTCAAAAGATTGATAAACCCTGGCTTCAAAATGTAAATCAAGTCTCTAACCCTAAAAAACTGAAGATAACATGCTGGTGTCCCCACCCAAACCTGCAGCCCTAAGGCGGAACGTGGGCAGCCGATTGTTCCCTCTTTCTTGAAGATGACACATCTTTTTGCCTCTCACTACATATGTACACATGAAATGATATGAAGTTTTATTTAAAGTCCTTATTAATGGTTGTTTAACAGTCTTCATATCACCAAAATAATGGAAAATGTTAATAATATATAATTTAACATTGGCTAAAATTTGACTTAGAAATACCATTTCTGGAAATATATTTTATTAGATAATACTGAATATGAAAAAAGCTTTAGGCTTATAGGTGCATTATTCATAAAAGTGGAACACCTATTCCTCCACAGCTCTCTTCCATCAGGCAACCATCAAAATGCTCTCTGTATCTTTGTCTGAGGGACTGGGGGATGTGGAGTAGAGGTGGGCAAAGGAGAAAAATTGGGACAATTGTAATAGCATAATCAATAAAATATAATTAAAACAAAACAAACAAAAGTGAAACAGAAAACATAATATTAAGCCATAGAAAAACAATTCACATTAGCAACAGGACATATACAGCACATAGACCATGATGCAGCCATTAAAAAATATGCAATGATATAAGAAAGTTTTACATGAGAAAATGCTACAGTAAATATATGTACATATATAGCATAGTTATGACAAGATGAGGAGATAACTTAGAGGTGTGGATGATGAAAAAATAAGAGTCCCTTAAAGAAAAAGCTTCTGTACAGCTAAAGAAAACATCAGCAATATAAAAATGGAAGCAACCATATGGAAAAATGTAATTTCTAATGATACTTTGGACACAGGTTTAATCTCCAAAATATATAAAGAACTCATATGGCTCCACACCAAGAAGACAAACAATCGAATTAAAAAATGGGCAAAGGGCCTGAACAAACTCTTCCCCAAGGAAGACATACAGAGAGCCCATAGACATATAAAAAGATGCTCAGCATCACTAGCCATCAGAGAGATGCAAATTAAAACCACAATGAGATACCACTTCACACCGGTCAGGATGGCCATCATAAACAAATCAACACACAACAAGTGCTGGTGAGGTTATGGAGAAAAGGGAACCCTAGTGCACTCTTGGTGGAATTTCAGACTGGTGCAACCACTATGGAAAACAGTATGGAATTGCCTCAGAATTTGGATCCAGGAATTATTACACTGCTAGGATTATACTTTAAGAATCCTGAATCACAAGTCCAAAAGAACCTATTCACGCTAATGTTCATAGCATCACAATTTACAATAGCCAAGTGCTGGAAGCAACCTAAGTGCCCATCAGTAAATGAATGGATCAAAAAACTATGGTGTATTTACACTATGGAATACTACACAGTGGAAAGAAAGAAGAAACTCCTACTCTTCACAACAGCATGGATGGGACTAGAGAGTATTAGGCTATGTGAAATAAGCCAGGCAGTGAAAAACAAATACCATATGATCTCATCTATAAATGGAACCTAATCAACAAGAGAAACAAATGAGTGAAAAAGAACCAGGGACATGGAAATATAAACAAACTGACATTGACCAGAGGGGAGGGAGGACAGAGATGATGGGGGAAAGAGGGGGAAGGGTCAAGTCAAGGAACACGTACTGAAGACCCACAAACAAGGGCAATGGTGTGGGAATTGTCTTTGGGAGCAGGGGTTAGATGTGGCAAGAGAGGGCAATGGGGACAAAAATTAGAACAACGTAACTGAACAACAATAAAGAAAGAAAGAAAATACAAAAAAGAAATCTGATTGAATTTCTATATCATATTTGGAACTAAAATTAATAAAGCCCATCCAAAGTTCTGTGAATCTGGTTGACTTGGTTTATGGAAACAAATTTTGATAAGACTCAATTTTGATAAGCTAGAACTTATTTTTAAGAAAATGCTATACCAAGAGGAATAATCACTCAGAAAGTTATGCTGATTAACTCGAGATCACTTGGTAGATATGGTAGATGCAATCATCCTGAGTTCTTGTTTTTGTACTGATATTTAATTCCTACGTATTTATGGAAGCACCTTAGTTCTCAGTCAAAGCTGATGATGTTCTTTGAAAGCAGCAGTTGGTTTAAACTTACCTTACATGAGGACTCCACCTGCAGAGGAGGGCAAGGTATTGGCCCAAACTGGTAGGAGCTGGAGGATCTCTGTTCCACACTTTTGTGCTTATGGGTTTCTGAGGCAACTGAAAGTACAGCTTCGGGCTTTAGAAACTGTGAACCATCACAAGAATTAAGAATAATTCTTGCTCTTTCTCCTGTCTCATGTCTTTCCAAAGTACCTGGAAAATAAGAATAGAAATAAAATTTTTTGCAAAATATTTACCCCCAAAAGAATGAAAAGAACAAACTAATTCTAACAGAAAAATCACAATTCTTTAAGTTATCATGCCTTACTATTTTCTTTCAATCAAAAAGCAGCCTGGAAGCTTTCTCTAAATTACTCAAATCATGGTTTTACAAAGGCTGAAATTATGGACTTGAAAAGTTCATCTTCCTCTTTGTGCTTTTCATCCACTGAAATCAATAGGACATTCAATAGTCTTTAACAGTAAAATCTCTTACTTATTATATAGTATGCAAGTGATCAATAACAAAAAAATATGGAATATTTTCATGTTTTCCCTTTGTGTTCCAATCACAAACAACAGAGAATTCACAGTGCTTTGCTTAGTTTCTTAATCTTAAAAGGTTTCTATTGTTGATGCGTAATTGAGTGAATAGGTTAAGTAAGAACACACATGATTTGTATTACTACCTTCCTCACCAAAGCGTTCTCATAGCTTCAGGAAAGCAGGCCACACTAGGGTGTTGTTGTTGTTATTGTTGGTATTATAGCTGTTACAACATTTGACCTTTATGTCTTATGTTATTAGAAGGAATAAGTTCCTTTGCCCTCATCTCTGCCATTCTTGCAGTTTCAGAGTTTCAGGGTGTAGGCAAGTTCAATTTAAAGTTGAAAGAAACAAATATAAAACAGAGCAAAAGTATCAGAAAACAATTCACAAAGTGTTAGAGGTTTTATGAAATACAATGCCATATGCTCAGTGTAATATCAATAAATATCAATTAATCATGACCATTGTCTCCTATCAGTTGTGAGTTCATTTGGATTAGACCATGTTACATATATAAGCTATAACCTACTAAGAAGCTAAAGAAAATTAATTTGACATGCCATCTAAATACAGATTTTATTCCATATTATTCTTTTCCTACCAATGAAGAAGAAGTAGTTGTACTATTTGCTAAGGAAAAAGATCATTCTTACTGTATTAAGAAAAATATCAATTTAAAGTAATTACTGCCAGAGAATAAAAATAATGACACCATACCAATACATCTTTAGACAGGTAGATGGACTTAACAATTATGACACTCCAACCCTCATTTCTCCTCCTCTCCTCACCATCTTCCCTTACAGCAACTGTGCCATTGCTTGGTGCTTTGGGTTCTGAGTCAGTAGCAATTATTATGCTACTGGGCAACAATTTTTCATTTTAACCTTTCTACATTCATAAATTATCATCTTTCACATAAAACATAATAAACATTATTTCTCCAAGGTTTCTTTTTCCATCAAGATTAATATGTCTTCAACAAATGAAGTTGACAGTAACATCAAGAAAATCCTTTCTCTCAAGGATGACAGTAAGAAGAGTTTCTCAAACAAAAGATAATAGTTATTATTACTTCCTGAAAATGACCACATTCCAGAACCTGTAACTACAGTATCTGGTAAAATTCACTGTTTTTATGAGAAATCTCTCTTTGAATAATGGTATCACCATGGATATTTTCTTCTCACAAGTTTTCTGTGGTTCTTCAAACTATCATATTTTTTAAAGATTTTAAGAATTCTTGGAAAATCCTTTGTTATACTATAATACACATGAAATACACATTAGTTCTATGTATTAATATATATTATTCTATACACAACTATTTATTCTATTTCTTATATATTTTAGTGATAAAAATAGTTTACCTACAAACTTGGACAGTTGTAATCTATTTTTGTGTGTAGTTAACTAATCTAACTAATCAGCTGAGTGTCAACAATGTGTCTTTCATTGAGCCAGGTACTGGCAACAAACAGTAAACAAAAGTGACTCCATCCTTGTCCCCCTAGAGCTCAAGTAAAATCCAATGGTAGTGAGGAGGCAAGAAACATTTGGGAACTAATTTGCTGTATCTAAAGTAAGACAAAAGCTATTTTCACTACAAACCAACACTTAATCAACAAAATATTGGAAACACGGTTTTGTGAACAATAGCTTCCATCCTGCTTAGTTGTAAAATACTTGAAAAATACTTAGATTATTTTGTTCCAAAGAACTGGTTGTGACACAAATGTGACATAAGGAATAGTTCAAGTGAGTCAAACACTTTAAAAGTTACCATAGACAAATAAATAAGTTCATATTTAAAATAATAAGTTGATTTTCTAATAAGTTCAAGACAACAACTTTTAAAAGCCCTTGGTCAAAGCCCTGACTGTGAATAGGGAGAGAATCTCATGTGTGCCAGTTATCAATTTATTGTCTCTTAGTTCCAGATCCACTCCTCACTGCCTGCTCTGGAAAATGTATATGCTCGTCTCTAAATATTTTTCTTTCAACAGCTGTTGCAATGTTAACCTTTGCAGACAAAAGGTGCTGGGAAGACCTACAGAAGAAAGGACTTTTTCTTCTCAGTTCTGGGATGCTCCATGGCAGCAGCGTGGGTGGCTTCCTCAAGCGCCAGACTCGGGCAGCGCATGGTGGCCAGTAGCACCCAGCAGACAGCAGCTTCCCCTGAGACATTCTTTGGATAGTTTGTAACAGAGTGCCTCCAGGAAGACATCTCCCTATGAACAGCTTTCCTTAGTTCCATAGAGGGCATATTTTTAGCAACACCATACCACGCCACATCACAGCAGCTTCTCTGCTGTCCAGTGATCACAGCTGTGAGCTCTCAGTAAGGTCAGGATTTTAGCCCCAGGGGAACTGGTGCCCCAGGCAGCACATCTCAGCTCCAGAGTGAGCAGTTGCTCCTTAACCTGCTATTCCTGTATCTGGTTCTTATTAACCAATCCCTGACATTCACATTATTTGTGATAGTTAGTAATTCCTTATGTTGAATTTTTTTCTCTTTAAATTATTCTGTCATTCCTCTCTCCTGATTGGACCCTCATCAATACAACATAATAAATTACTTCCAATGCAGAATGTTCCTTTAAATATATCCCTGAAACTATGGAATTTACATAGCTTCAGGGATATAGTTAAATAGAGTAAACAGTAAAAACAATAACCCAGGACGGAGGGCATGATCCCAAGGAGGTCCAAGGCTTGCCTTTGCAACTCTAATGAACTGCCTTTGGACAGTTTGTTCATGGAGACAGAATACCCATTGTTTTCTGATATCAAAGAAATAACAGAAACTAAAGACTAACAAAATTGCTTAATTCAACTTCCCATTTAAGGACATCTTTTGCTTTCCAAAGTACACACATTGATAATTAGATATCTCTTGTTTTTCTTTTGCACTATGCTACATCAAGATGAATTTACTCATATTCTCCATTTGGATCTATCTGAACGTGGTAAGCAAAGACATAGAGACATACTTGAGTTAAATATATTAAAGTGACAATTGTATTTCTTTCTTCAAAGTTGATGTTGTAAAAATGAATACCACACAATCTATCCCAAGTTAACTCTTCATTGTATAAAATATTTTCCAGTAAATAGCTTGCATTTTTCTATTATTTTATTAACATGAGTTTTGAGATCATCTGTTTTGTCCTAACCTACAAATCGTACATTAGAGGATGGAACCAATTAGAGGAAAGCTTACAATTAACATCCTTAAAGAAAGTGAATGAAAGTAAGTTCATGTCCATGGATTGTACATATAAATTCTTTGAGTCCTCTGTTTCCTATACCATTTTTTTATCTATCCCTGTCTATTTTATGCCTACTAATTATGCTTCTTCTTTCCTGTACCTTCCCCCTGCATTCTTCCCTTCTTCCTCCCCACTGAAATCCCTCCATGTGATGTCCATTTCTCTGATTCTGTTCCCAAATGATGGCACTGGCCAGCATTCAAAGTAGTTTTCACTGATCCAAAATTGCCTAGTCTTCAAATGTCAGCACACAGAAACATAATGAGCAGCCAAGATCGTGGTTTCAGGCCCCTATCCACAATATTTCCACTTGTATATCCTGCTTTCACTGCCAACTCAACACAGCCCGTTGTCCTTAATCACATTTTTTAAAACCAGGGTGACTCCCTTCACCACTCTGTGCCCAGTGGCTGCCCTCTCCACCTGTCAAGGCTGACAGCCAAGAGACATAACTGCATGATGGGCAAGAGCAGAGTAAGCACCAGCCCGCCCTGCACTCAGATCGAACCTGTTGTGTGGCCTTGGACTAGCCATTTTACATGCCTGTGCCTTACTTTCCTCATCTGTGCAGTGGGGATAATAATTCTTACCCCACAGGTGTGCTATGAGAATCCAGTTGAGTTGATAAGGCTCTGACACACATGACAGGTTCTTCCTCAGCCCCCTGTGAGCCATTTAACAAACCTCCTTGTCCCTGTGGCTTTGGAACGTCTGATAAGGGGCCCAATGTGGCACCTCCCTCCCTCCTACCAGAGACGAACCTCCTCAACCAGGGTAGCTTCTCAGGCTAGGCTATAATCAAAATCTGGGTAGGATTATACGTTTGACTTATTTTTCAATCCTCCTCAGTAAACCAGACTGAAGTCTGGCATAAATTAAAGGCTAGAGAAATACTTCTTAATGGATTATATGACATTAGCAACATGGCTAATGATTTTTTTTACTGTGTCTACACGAGATTAAATCCAAAATCCTTGACCTACAAGTCATATTCTCACCCGTGCTTTCTCCCACATCATCCTCCCCTTGCTCACAATTTAGATCTTTTATTTTCTTTTAAAGATCCCTGAAAATAAATCACTTACTGCTAACTTCATCTCACTCTTTTAGTATTAGCTTAAAATCTCACCTCCTCAGGGAGGCCTTTCTGAAGTAAATCCTTCTCTTAGCTTGCATTGTTTCCTATCTCAGTTTCTTTACTTTGAAGAACTTACCACATTTATAATTGGTATATTTTTATTTGCTTGCTTAAATTCAGGGCTGCCTCCCTACCAGATGCTAAATTCTTTTCAGCAAGTATATATTCTATGAGCTTCATACAAAGCAGGGCTCAATACCTGTTCCCAGAATGAATAGATTAAATTTTATCCTTCCCCTGTGGCAGTAGAAGGA